CTTAGGTTGCTTCCATGTCTTGGCTACACAGTCAGTTTTTGATCTTTATTCTGTCTAGATTGTAAGTTTAGTTTTTTTGAATTTACTTGTGATTTCAATTATATTGAGCAGCATCTGTTACTTTATTTCATGTCTAGTCCTATCACTGTGGCAGCTCTTAGGAATATTAGCATAAAATACCCCCAAATCTCTCCTCCTCTCTTAGCTGTCTGTCTCTCTGTCTCTCTCTATTTACTTTCTTTCTCAGTTTTACTCCATTGCCCCCCATTCTGGAATATACTGAAATATTTGTTTAATATGGTTGGATGGCATCACTGACTTGATCGACATGAGTTTGAGCAAGCTCTGGGAGTTGGTGCTCGAGAGGGAAGCGTGGTGTGCTGCAGTCCATGGAGTTGCAAAGAGTCAGACACAACTGACTGACTGAACTGAATTGATTTGTTTTCTGATGGGGAAAAGAGAAAGGTGGGGAGTATTAGATTTCTGCTTCTGACTAAAAAGGAGAAACAGGGACGGTGTTTTGCCCTTCTACCTGAAGCAATAAAAATAAAACAGAAATAAGTGTGAAAAATCAATTTTAAGATATTGAACGTCAAACAACATAGGACAGTGATCCCTGAGAGATGAGGAACAAATGAAGTGAACCCTTTAATTTTCCCAACTTACTTCTCTGAGTGATGAATTTCCAGGTAATAAGATAGGGAGAGCAAACCGATCGGGAAAGGATTTGAAGATGGAATTGAGAGACCAGGGAGAACAAGGCAGCTATTTTTCCAGTCCAAATCCAGAGAGGAGGAAGCTACAGAAAAAAGAGCGAGAGCTCTAAAGGGACACCCCTCTGCTTTCAGCTGAGTACTGATCAGTGCAGGTGTATGAAGAAATAAGCGAGTTCTGGGAAAGGATTATCCAGGAGAACTGAAGGGAATGATTTTCAGATCTCACACAAGGCTGAGAATAAAATCAACACATTGCACACCTATAAAATTCACCTTGTATAATCTAAATAGATACACCTTTTAGTTGTTAATAATATTTTAATAAAATATTAAAAATAAAATTTAAAAAAGAAACTAGATTTTTAAAGTAGCAAACAAGACACTGATAGAATTACTGGACATGACATGAAGAAGTTATTCTGACTGTATTTAATATAGTCAAGAAGGTTGAGAAAAAATCATGTCATTTGAGATATAGAAAATTATATTTAGAGATATAGATTTATAAATAAATATATATATTTATAAATAAATAAATATATTTATAAATAAATATATATATTTATATATTTATAAATAAATATATTTATATATATTTATAAATATAAAGTTATACTTAGCAATTTTTGAAAAAGACAAATTCTAAGATCTAGTAATGAAGTGTATCTAATATGAATCTATCCAGTATACTTTGGATGGAATTAAAGTAATTGGACCTTGCAGAAGGAAAGATTAGTGAACAAGGAATCAGAGAAATAGTAGCACTTTAAAATAAAACAAAGAGAAAAGCGAATGAAAAAAAGTGAACAGACCATTAATTGTGTGAGACATCTTTAAGTGATATGGTGTACATATAATTGGAGTCCAAAAAAGAAAAAGCATTAGCAAAATAATATTTAAATAAATACAAAATGCAAAACAAAAATAATGTTTAAATAATGGATAGAAACTTTCTAAACTTGTTGAAAACAATAAACACATAGAGAAAAGAATCTGAGTAGCTAAAATAATGAGAAACAGAAAGAAAACCACATCAAGATCCATCATAAACAAACTCCTTAAAAATCAGATGAGGTACATTATGTTAAGAGAGAGGTTTGTTCTCACTCCAAGCCTGAGATAATGAAGAAACGACAACATTAAAGTGCTGAAAGAAAAAGTGTCACTGTAGTATTCTATAATCCTGTAGAAAGAAAAGCAATGCCAAAGAATGCTCAAATACCATAGAATTGCACTGATTTCACATGCTAGCAAAGCAATACTCAAAATTCTCCAAGCTAGGCTTCAACAGTCCGTGAACTGAGAACTTCCAGATGATCAAGTTCGATTTAGAAAAGACAGAGGAACCAGAGATCAAATTGCCAACAATCCGTTGGATCATAGAAAAAGCAAGAGAATTCCAGGAAAAAAAACACACACACAACACATCTACTTCTGCTTTATTGACTATGCCAAAGCCTTTGACTGTGTGGATCACAACAAACTGTGAAAATTCTTAATGAGTTGGGAATACCAGACCACCTTACCTGCCTCCTTAGAAATCTTGTGCTTCCACCTTGTGCTTCATCCAGCTCAGCATTTCTCATGATGTACTCTGCATGGTAATTCACTAAGCAGGGTGAAGGTATACAACCTGATGTACATCTTTCCCAATTTGGAACCAGTTCGTTGTTCATGTCCAGTTCTAACTGTTCCTTCTTGACCTGCATAAAGGTTCTCAAGAGGCAGGTAAGGTAGTCTGGTATTCCCACCTCTTTTAAGAATTTTCTACAATTTTCTGTTATCCACAAGGTCAAAGGCTTTAGCATAGTCAATAAAGCAGAAGTATATGTTTTTTTTCTGGAATTTCCTTGCTTTTTCTATGATCCAATAGATGTTGGCAATTTGATCTCTGGTTCCTCTGATTTTTCTAAATCAAGCTTTTACATCTAGAAGGTCTTGGTTCATGTACTGTTGAAGCCTAGCTTGAAGGATTTTGAGCATTATCTTTCTATTTAATATTATCTTGTTGACATATGAAATGAGTGCAATTGTGTGGTAGTTTGAACATTTGTGTAATCCGTATTAATTTCTATATGTATGCATAGCCATATCTATATCTCTTTTTCTGTATGCATATTGTTTTATGTATATACTGAAAGCAGTGAGTTCACACTATCTTCTTACCCATTATCTTATGGTTTATTCTAGTTTTTCCTCTTTCTGTGTGTGTAACTCTTCTGTCAGTGGTAAGCAGGCTCTCACTAGACCTCATCTGTTTACTTATCTCTCGTGTCATCTCCTGTGTATAGTTGAGCTCCCATTCCTTTTGATTCACTTTACATTCTATCTCTCCACAGTTCCCACACTAATATCCTTTTCTCCTTATAGTGTGATAATGATCACAAGTGGAATTTTAATTTTAATATTTGTCCTCACATTCAGTAGATTTTAATATACAGAACTGCAAATAAAATGTATGTGGTAAGTTTTCTGAAAATACATTTTTAAAAAGTTATAGGTCATAAAAAAGAGATTAATTGTAGAAACCTTGTCTTTAATTACTCCCACCTCTCAGAATACATGTGTCTTAAAATCCTTGTGTTACATGGATTAAGGATGCATCCTTGTTTCCTTATTTTTAATTTTTACTTCTTTTTTTATTGAAATATAGTTGATTTACAATATTGTATTTGTTTCAGTATACAGCATGGTGATTCACTATTTTTATAGATTGTACTCCATTTAAAGTATTAATAGACAATAATGGATATATTTCCTCTTGTAGAAAGGAAATCTTGTTGCTTATTTATACATAATAGTTTGTGTCTCTTCATTCCATTCCCTTGGCTCATTCCTCCCCATTTCCCTCTCCTCACTGATGACCGCTAGCTTGTTCTCTGTATCTGTGAGTCTGTTACTGTTTGTTAACATAAATTCATTTGTTCTATTTTTTAGATTTCACATAAAAGTAATAGCAGAGTATTTGTCATTCTCTGACTCATTTCACTAAGTATAATATTTTCTAAATATATCTATGTTGTTTTAGGTGGCAGAATTTCATTCTTTGTTTGTGGCTGAGTAATATTCCATTGGGGCTTCCCTGATGGTTCCATGGTAAAGTATCCCCCTGCCAATGCAGGACACACAGATTTGATCTCTGGGTCAGGACGATCCCCAGGAGAAGAAGATGACAACCCACTCCAGTACTCTTGCCTGAGAAATCTCTTAGACAGAAAAGCCCACAGGGGATCATCTATGGGCTCCCAAAAGTTTTGGACATAGCAAGTTAACAACGACGATATTCACACACACATATATATATATACATGCACACATTACATCTTCTTTATCCATTCATTGGCTGATGGACACTTAGGTTGCTTCCGTATGTTGGTAATTGTAAACAGTGCTTTCATTGTGGGTAAATTTGGAAGGATTTTTTAGAAGTTAAAACATTTAAATTTTCTTTAATTAGATGCCTGTGTTGTCACCATAGGAGAAACATGATAATGGAGATGAAGTGACATATACTATTGTCCTTAAGTGTGAAAGAACATGATATATTTGGATAACCACATAGTGCATGCAGCATAGTTTAGCAGACTGGGTAGAAGAAACACAGCAAGGGAAAGAAGAAGGAGCATATATATATTAGAAAAATGAGGTTGGGGCCGATCAAGCCCCTGAGTAAAACAAAAATGAATAATAAACAGAAAAAACATGAACTCAAGTAGTTCTCTCAAAAAGGGGAATGAAAAAATACATATATATATATATTTTTTTACATTTTATTTATTTATTTTTTTTTTCACAACCATAGTGTATCTTTTTTTTTTTTTTTTTTTTACATGTATTCCCCATCCTGGTCCCCCCTCCCACCTCCCTCTCCACCCAATCCCTCTGGGTCTTCCCAGTGCACCAGGCCCGAGCACTTGTCTCATGCACCCAACCTGGGCTGGTGAACTGTTTCACCCTAGATAATATACGTGTTTCGATGCTGTTCTCTTGAAAATTCCCCACCCTCGCCTTCTCCCATTGTTAAGTAGACCCGCACCCTGGATATTTTTGGAAAAGTTTAATTTCATTTTTTTTCTTGTTTCTAAAAGTTTGCTCTCACTTCATGGACTAGTTAGTTGTCCCTACATTTTTATGCTATTTTCATAAATGATGAAGTTAGATTATTACCCTGAAATTTCTTCCCAACTCTTAAATTCTGTGATTTTACATATAGCCTTTATTTCCTTTGTTCTGCTTCTACTGAAAACCTTGCATCCAATATATGAGCTTATTTTGTGCATAAACTCAAAAATGCAAAATTCTCATTCTTTCCTCCAGAAACAGTCTAGCTGTGAATTTTCTCATAGCACCATGCACTTCTGTATTCCTCAGGCTATAGATGATAGGATTGAGCATCGGTGTGACTACTCCATAGAACAGGGCAATCAATTTGTCAAAAGCAGCGTCTTTGGACTTTGGCTTCATATACATGAAGAGGATTGTCCCATAAAACACACTCACCACCATTATGTGGGCTGAGCAGGTGGAAAAAGCCTTTTTTCTTCCTTCAGCTGAATTGATTCTTAGTACAGTAGAAAGGATGAAAATGTAGGAGATACAAATTAACAGTAATGGAACAAACAAAAATATTACGTTGCCCAACATGATAGTAATCTCATTCAAGGATATATCTGTGCAAGCTAGCTTGACAAAGGCCAATATTTCACAAACAAAATGATTGATGACATTTTTTCCACAGAAGGGCAACTGTACTGCAAGAATTGTTTCTGTCAGTGAGTTGAGAAAGCCCAATCCCCAGGAGAGAGCTGCCATCTGAATACAAAGTGCCTTGTTCATGATGATAGGGTATCTCAGAGGGTTGCAGATGGCTATGTAACGGTCATATGCCATCACTGCTAGAAGTACACACTCTGTCGACCCCATAGTGTAAGAGACAGACATCTGAACAACACATCTAGTGAAGGAGATAGTTTTTTTCTCTGACAGAAAGTGTATCAGCATTGAGGGGATAAAGGAGGATGTGTACCAAATGTCAAGGAAGGAAAGATTGCCAAGGAAGAAATACATAGGGGTGTGAAGGTGGGAATCCAGGAGAGTGAGGATGATCAAAGTGCTGTTCCCTAGGAGAATCACCAGGTACATCAACAAACACATCACAAAAAGGAGTTTTTCTGCTCTTGGATACTCAGAAAGTCCCTGTAGAATGAACTCAATGTCTGTCCAATTGGTCCTTTCCATTTCACATTTTCATACCTAGAGTAATCCAGAAGAGATGTGGGTTTAAGGAGTCTATACAGTATTATAATATGAAGTAAGAGAACATTGGAGGAAGGGCAATGAGTCAGTATTAGCTGGCTGGGTTTACAGTTGTGAGTTTAGATTTTCAAATTTTTCTTCTAGCTCATGTGTCAGGGAATAGAAGAGAGACAATAATTATGTTGGTAGTTTATTAAAAATACAAACTTAATATTCCATTTCTGACATTCTGATGCACAAATTCTGAGTCAAGGAAGAACTATTTAATAAATAATTGTTATTCCTGATTCAGACTTACTTTGAATATCATCATTTTGGAGATAACATGCTTAACTTCTTAAAAATATTGATTTATGATTTTATATCATGCCAGTCATTAACAATAACATTGGTTTAGGGTTTTACAATTTATGAAAATGTTCATCATACTTATTTTATCATCCCTATAATTCTCTGAGGAAGATAATGTTCATAACGGTAAGAAGTATTTTAAAACACAGTAGGTAAACAAACTACTATTCGATTCTACATTTTCTGACTTTACATCCCCCTTTTTAAATTACTTGGTTATTGCCCTCAAAATTATACAAGTTGTCTGAGTGGGAGTGTCTAAGGCATCTTTTAGAATAATGCTCTCCAGATGATTCTGTTGTTTAGCTTAGGAAGAAAACACCCATCCAAATTTTAGTATACAGATGAATCACATGGGAACTTTTTGTAAAAGCCTCTAAATCAGTGAATCTGAAGTGGGTTTTAAGATCTGTATTCATTAACATGCTTTCAGATGTTGTTGATGTTGCTTGTGTATAAGCACATGAATAACAAGGCCTTTTAAATCATCTCTCTGATACCTTTGGAACTTGCCATTGGAGTTTCAGTTCTATGTAAGATTGAAATTGAACAGCAGACAATACAAAACTAAACATGTTAGTGAGACTTCTGTGTAAGTATAGTGCAATTTGTTTTGGATTCCTTAGATTTTAGAAATACAAACAACAAAATCACACATAGAAGAGTTTGCCCTTTATTTCTGTCCATATGAAAGTCGTTTCTTTTCCATTTGCTGAATTTGCAATTAAGCTCAATATTTTCCAAGAAAGGAAGCTGAGATTTTACCAGACCACCTTACCTGACTCCTGAGAAATCTGTATGCAGGTCAAGAAGCAACAATTAGAACCAGACATGGAACAACAGACTGGTTTCAAATTGGGAAAGGAGTACGTCAAGGCTGTATATTGTCACCTGGCTTATTTGACTTATATGCAGAGTACATGATGCGAAATGCCAGACTGGATGAAGCACAAGCTGGAATCAAGATTGCCGGGAGAAATATAAATAACCTCAGATAACGCAGATGACACCAACCTTATGGCAGAAAGAGAAGAAGAACTAAAGAGCCTCTTGATGTAAATGAAAGAGGAGAGTAAAAAAGTTGGTTTAAAGCTCAACATTCAGAAAACTAAGATCATGGCATCTGGACCCATCACCTCATGGCAAGTAGGTGGGGAAATAATGGAAACAGTGACAGACTTTATTTTCTTGGGCTCCAAAATCACTGCAGATGGTGACTGCAGCCATGAAATTAAAAGATGCTTCCTCCTTGGAAGAAAAGCTGTTACCAACCTAGACAGTATATTAAAGAGCAGAGATAGTACTTTGCCAACAAAGGTCTGTCTAGTCAAAGCTATGGTTTTTCCAGTAGTCATGTATGGATGTGACAATTGGACTATAAAGAAAGCTGAGCAATGAAGAATTGATGCTTTTGAACTGTGGTGTTGGAGAAGACTCTTGAGAGTCCCTTGGACAGCGAGGAGACCAAACCAGTCCATCCTCAAGAAAATCAGTTCTGAATATTCATTGGAAGGACTGATGCTGAAGGTGAAACTCCAATAGTTTGCCACCTGAGAAGAACTGACTCATTTGAAAAGACACTGATTCTGGGAAAGATTGAAGGCAGGAGGAGAATGGGACATCAGAGGATGAGATAGTTGGGTGGTATCATGAACTCAGTAGGCATGAGTTTGAACAAGCACTGCGAGACGGTGAAGGACAGGGAAGCTTGGTGTGTTACCGTCCATGGTGCTCCAAAGAGTTGGACATGACTGAGAGACTGAACTAAACTGAACAAGATCAGAGTTGTGTGCTATAGAGGGAAAATGATTTTAATTTGAAAAAATCTAAAGAGCAGATATTAGTATATGATATTCTTCCCTATAACAACTAAGTATAAGAGTATAATTTTGAAAACACTTCTTCATTCTCAAGAGATTCTACCTAGATTAAAAAATATTCCTAGAGAAAAAAAGTTGATTGAATAAATGGGCTTTTACTTAGGGTTTTCAAAAAGTAGTTATGTTTCCAGTATAGGACTAGCTATTTCTGGGATAGTCATTTGCCAATGAGTTATACTGTGAAAACTCCAGTTTACAATAGTGAGACAATTCATTCTAAATAATAAAATATTTATGTATCTATTGACTATAGAAAGGAGACTGTTGTTGTTTAGTCTCCAAGTCTGACTCTTTTGTGACCTCATGGACTATGGCCCAGCTAGCTCCTCTGTCCGTAGAAAGGAGGACACTCATTTAATTCAGGCTGCACCCTACTTTGTAGGCATACATTTAAAAAAGGGTAGCAAATGTTGGGTAGGCCAGGATATACCTTTACTTGGTATTAAGATTGGAACTTGATTGATTGTAGGTACACATACCAAATGACTTTGAGAATAAAATTCTGATAGCAGAACTTCAGTCATCTGAGATCTGAATATACTGCAGTTTCAGGAGGACAGATGTGAATCAGGTCAAAAACCTTCTCTTTTTAGGAACATCTTATAAAAACTGATTCCTTATTGGAAATTACTTATAGTAAATAAATGTAGTGTATGTAAGGTATCCTAACAGCCCTTGATAATCTCTGCAAAAAAAAAATTTTACTTGCAGATTTTTTAAAGAGATGCCACCAATCTGCTTTAAGGTTTTCAAATGGAGGTGGAGAGGAAGGTAAGAGATAATATAGAGGAGATGATTTTCATTACTCTTGCAATGCTAGTGTACCTTTTAAGAAACAGTTAACAAATACTCCATTGAATTGCATTGTGCCTGAAATGCTTTCCCTATTTAGCTTTACTTCTCTAAAATGAATTTATAGAATCTGGGAACAAGGAAATGAAGATTTTAAAAGATTCTTGGTAATTTATAATACAATCATTTTCCATGGTATCTGTATATTGGAAGTGATCTTTTAAAGCAGTTTTTCATTCTTGTCTAATGCTAGGAGAATTGTCAAATAATCATTGTGCACTCATTTTGGGTCATTATTCATCTTTTAATATGACATTTGTGATAAATTTCCACTAATCCCAAAATTACATTTAAATTATTTTAGAATGACTAAGTGATAGCAAATAGTTATAGCATTATTTGAAAGATCAAAATCTAAACCAAGATAACCCAGACAGAATTGAAAGACTGAAAAGAAATATCAAGACATTAATGGATATCTTAGATACTTTTTTCCTACTTTTCTGAATTACCGAAATTCTAAAATAAATATGCAAAAGGAAAAGTATAATGAAAAAGAGAAAGACAATGAAGTAGGTGTCATTATATTAGGAAGATTAACTCAGAGTAAAATATGCTAAAACAATTTAAACATTACAGTGATTGTCTCATGTGTCTAGATACTAAACATTAAGGCTGAGTTGTACTGGTGCGTCTTGTCCAGTTATCCATAGGAAGCTACTATTTCTGATAGACCTGGAGCATTTATTATCCCTACCCTCTAAATCTTGCAGGTTAACAGTGTTAATTATTTTTGGGGTGAACCAAGATAAAGAATTTGAGTTCTTAGTCATATTAATATAATCTCAAAAGAGATTTCAGATCCATGGTCCCTAGAATAGAATTGTCACTAGAAGATGATATTCTTATTTGTTGAGGCTTTGAACTGACCTAAATCTTAACTGTCCTCTAATCCTTCTCAATCAGCTCCTGGTCTTTCAGAGTGATCACTCTGTGGTTCCATGCTGGGAGGTTTCATTCAGGCTGTAACAGACCTAAAGAAAATTCTGTGACTTTTTTATTCAAGACAGAAGTTAAGCTCTCTAATTTTCTAGAAAGATCCCTAACTTTCTAGAATTTTTTTTTCACTTTTATTGACTTGCTTACTTGACGATCTAATATTTAAACTTCTAAGATTTTCATTGAAAAGCAGATACCATCTATACTCTAAATTCTCACTAGAGAATATAATTCTGTTATCCTTTCCAGTTCTCCTAAATAGATCAATTAAGACCATTGATATTGTGAAAAAATAAGTAGAGTTACCAACTTTTATTTTGTAGGTTTTATAAACTCTGATCTTCAATTAACATACCACATGGGAAGGTGTATTATTTTAGCTCACAAAGAGAAGAGTAATTGACAACATGTGAAGTCCTAATTTGTATTTGGCACTTCAAATAATTTTTATCATTTATCTTTCAGAAT